TTCTGGAAAGTAAAAGTAAAGGAGGGGAGAAATACTTTCAGACTTGCAAGATTCTGTTACTATAACCTTACAATAAGGGTAGTGTTAGTATCATGGTTTTGGTTTCCTGTCTGGACTACCTCAAAGGGCTGACAGGATTGCACCAAGTGAGCATAGGGTGCACTTCACTCATGCCCCCCATACCTGCAATCTGCTAATTGGGCAATTTGATATGCGGCTAAACCTACCATCTTAAGCAACCACCTACAGTTGTCCAACCTGCTCATTCCATATTAGGAAAATGGCTGTTTTTTCTGCTAGCAGGTAGGAGGAGAAACAAAGCAGGGGATCCTACCAGTCCCTTAATTTGGCCTGCAATAAGTACATAAGGGCAGCACCCTTCTCCAGATTAGGGGCTGGGAGTGAGAGTAGCACAGGTGATGGCAGCATATTTTTCTGTTGGTTCAACAACCAGTGGAAGCCCTTGAATCTGGCTATCTGGAAGACCCCTTGCTCCTCTTCTCTCAGGTATCAGATGACCCATATAAGGAAAGATGCAGTTCTGGTCCAGGCCTTGGCAAGTAGATAACCAATGTCAAGTTAAGTGAGGTCCAAAGTATAACAAGTCAATTTTTCCCCAACCTGCTACACAATTAATTTCTCACAGAGTCCACTTATACTTTACACTCATGTCTCCCTAAGTAGGATCACCAACAAATGCTTTTTATTTCAAGGATAACTACAGCAACAAAGATTTAATTACCTTTGCTATTATACTACATCCAGACCCAGACTAACAACACAGCAAGAATAGCTCAGCTAAGGTAGGAGTTTACCATGGTTAATGTATTTAGAAATTGCCGGAAGTATAAAAAGTGACCTCAAGAAAGAAGGAGGGACTTTGAGAAAGATGACACAATTTGAAACACTTATACAGAATCAAGGTCATCTATTGGCATAGATAGAACAAATAAAAAAACTGCATGACAAAATGGATACAGATATACAGAATCAAGGTCATCTATTGGCATAGATAGAACAAATAAAAAAACTGCATGACAAAATGGATACAGATATACAGAATCAAGGTCATCTATTGGCATAGATAGAACAAATAAAAAAACTGCATGACAAAATGGATACAGAACTTCGAAAAAGTAATTACAGTGGAGCAATGGGAAGAACTATGGGGAAAAAATCAATAAAATTTACTCCAAGCTGTAATTTGAGGGAAAATGGGTTCAAAATGTTTTACAGATGGTATATAATTCCATCAATGATTACCAAGATGGACAAACCATATAATAATAAATGTTGGAAATGGCAAAATAAAGAAGGAACATTTTAACACATGTGATGGTCACATAAAAAGTATTGGAAGGAAATACACTAAAACATTCAGAAATTTTTAAAAATAAAATCTGAATTGAAACCACAAATATTTTTATTAGGAATAATTCTAGGCAGCATAAACCAAAAGTATCACAATTTACTAGGATATATCCTGACAGAGACATGAACAAATCTGGCACACATTGGCAAAGGGAAACTGCCAACAATATAAGAATGAGAGACCAAAATGAGAGACCAAAACTGGCTGCATATGTTCATAACAGAAGCTTAACCAAGTTTAAGCAAGAATTGCTCCGTTATGTCCGAAGCATTACACAACAAGGCAAATTTAGATGTTTGGAATATGTTTTTTAGAAAAAGAATTAAAAGACCAATTAAAAATAACAGATTAAACAATTTAAACAGATATAAGCAATAATCTTCAGTGTTTAATGTCAAAGCCTATTTAAGTAAGAGTCAGTGGTTGGGGGGAAATGGATGGAATGGGAAGGGGAGAATGTGTTACTGAAAGTTCCTCTTCACAATATTTTTTATTATGTTTTATTTTTTATCCTGGTTGTATCTTTATTGTTGTGTGACTTCTGGTTAAGCTTATGCAATAATTAGAAAAAAAGATAACAAAAATTAACAAAAACCTTTTTTGTGTTCCTACTCTAAAGCAGAGAGACCCTGTTCCTGATAAATCATACAATGCTTCTAAATTATTTTTAAAAAGACACGTTGCCACAGAATATCAAACTGATTGTGCTGAATTGTGTTATCATGGAAAGTATAAAAGAAAAATGGCTAAATCTGTTATACTGATATGCGCTGCATATTATATAAAGCAGCTTGATGCCCCTGAGCTTCAACACCCCAAATTCCAGCTCTAGACGAATCTATTTTGAATATCAAGTTGAGTAAAAGACTAAGAGTTATTGTTATTTCATTTTTACACTATCTCCCTCTCAAAATTGCCCAGAGCAACACAATTATATAGTACCTGAACAAACGATCTGCTTTTGAACCCAGGAGTGTGGAAAAGAAAGGGAAGGAAGAGCTTAAGCACTACACTTCCACAGCCAGTCCTGCCATGCAGTGCAGGGAGTTAGCCCTGGGCCCTAGAGATGCTGGGGCACAGGAGTTGTTAATGAAGTGTAGGCACACCTAGCTTGTGTACTTTACGCCTTGTCCAGAAAGTTCAACTGCCAGTCGACTGGGCTTCTGTGCCTACAGAGGGACAGGGGTGTCATTTGGTTTCCTGCCTGTCTGGCTGAAGGGCATCTTCCCAAGGTTGGTTGCTCTGCAGTGTCCAAAAGAGCCTTAGAGAGTAGTTCCTTTAGGATATCAGCCGAACTTCTTCCCCTCACCCAGTAGCCCCAACAGGTCTCTCTCCACCCGGGGAGGGGAGGGCTTCTCGCTGCTGACAGCTACAGTTTTCAGAGCAGACTTGGACCCAAAGTGGCATTTCCCACCTCTTTCAGCAATCTGAGGACAGTATAACTTGGGGAGGGGAAGGGCAACCTTGGAAAGGCAGTGCGGCTTTCTCCTAGGTCCCTGTATGCCTTATCAGCCTGCATGCGATTACACCGAGGAAACCCAGATGCGGAGTGTACGTATGCGCGAGGAAGGCGAGGCAGATGAGAAAAACAGCCCCAGAAGCTCCAGAGGAAGTATCGCTTAAATGCAACAGAGACTCCGGCAAAGGCCGAGGGGAACTCCCCTGTTTTCTCCCGCCTCGCGCGCTCTCCTCCTCCTCCCCCCTCCCGCTTCCTCCCCTCGGTGACGTTGCCCGCAGGAAAGTTCCCCGAGTCGAGGGCGCGCGCCCACCTTATAGAGGAACTGAAGCTTCTGCGGGCGGTGTCGCTTCGCACCTGGAGCCGCAAGTGAGTGAAGGGGCCGGGAGGGGCGAGGACGACAGGCTCTCTGCCATCCCTTTGGGAGCGCGCAGTCGGTGCAGCGGAGTTAATTCCCAGGTAAGACCGGGCAGGCGGGGGTGGGGGGAACTCTTGCAAAGCAGAAGCGGCGTCTCCGACTGAAGCCAAACCAAGCACGCACGGCTGGAAGGAAATCGGTGTTCTTGCCCACACACGCATTCGTTCAGGGTTTCCGCTGCCTGAGCACTACAAAATCCATGCAGTAAGCCAGCCTTCTGGGTTTAATATTCCCCAAGGTAATTTGTTCTGCTGTGGACCGTTTTCTCTCCATTTTCTAAAAGCACCAGGTAGTTCGCAGGACAATCCTGTACGTGGTTATTTAGAAATAATTATCCCACGTTCAATGGGATTTAATTTCTAGTTAATCTTTGGGTGTTCCTTGGAAATAAACTCCATAGAACAGAGGGTAGGACTTATTTCTGGCAGATTTCAGATGTGTTGGGCTGCAGTTAGCTTAGCCCATGCTAGGGGTGAGAGATGCCAGATCTAGTGTGATACGGTTAGAGGTTAGACTCGCATCACTCGTAGCATGCCTGAATTGGAAGGATTCTTATGGGTTATCTGGTCCAAGCACAGCTCAGTGCAGGAATCCGCTAAATCATCCCCAACAGGTGATGATCTAATTCATTTTCTAAAACCTTCAGCAAGAATTCTGGACAGACTGATCCATTGCTTAACAGCTCTTACTATCAAGAAATCTCTCTTAATCTTCAGCCTGAATTTCCTTCTTTTTAATTTCAACTCATTGGACTCTGTCCTATGCTTGGTTACAACACAGAACAGGTCCACCCTGCTCTATACAAGGGCAATAGCCCTTTAAATACTTATCGACCCCTGTCACATCTCCTCTCTCTCTCTTTTTTCTTTTACAAGGTAAACTTTTAGTGATGATAGTTGATGGAGTGGAGGGGAAAATTGGTTGCATGGCATTCTTAAAACTAAAATTGCAAGATTACCTCCTAATCTGGGCAAAAACCATTTCAGTACATATTTTAATAGAGTTGTACATCCTCACAGAGTTATAATGACAGGTATTTTTGTGGATGGCTTGGTTCACTATAGGATATGTCATAATAAAAATGATTTGTTCAGAAAAACATCAAGCTTCTCCTTGCAATACATTTGTACTGTGCAGAGTAGTGTAAAACAATCACAAGTATTAACTATATAATAAAAAAAAAATTAAGGCTGTGATTCTGTGTATGCTCATCTGGGACTAAATCCCACTGACTTTAGCAGAGTTTACTTCTATATAGCATGGTTTACTTTTGCACATGGCATGTCAAGTATTCATATTTCATGTGACTTTATGCATTCTTTACTCCAAAGTAATATATGCAGTATTTAGTGGGGCATACTCAGTAAATGTGTTCATAATTTCAGCTCTTTTGGTTGGCCAGTACTTTGCATGTATTTTCTTATAGATAAAATAATACTGTAGTTCTTTTCCAAGTTCAACATGATCCTTTGTAGTTTGTGAGCATGGGTGTGTGTCAGTCAGAGATGATATAGATTCATGTGGAGTATCTATAAGTACCCTTATTAAACTATTAAGCTTAAAGCAACTAATTAATTTGAGATCTCTTTTTAGTTTTAAGTTTTAAACTCCTTACTGGGCCATGAGACTTGTAATCACAATGAATTAAGTACTATAGCCTTTCTATGTTAATCCATATAATTTTCACAATGATTCTGCCAGCCCAAATAGCAAACTTGGAGTCCATCAAATGCCGCAGTGGATTTTGCAGCCTTGTCCAATACTTATCTATTTCAACAAAAAAAACATGTTACCTGAGTTAAGAGACCTTAAAAAAAGCTACTGCATATGGGTGTCAAATATAGAGATGTGTTTAATGATTAAAAGGAAATTTGTGAAAGTTTCCTATCCCTTGCAGCTATCTGCTCTTCCCTAAAATCTCACTGGAGTGGTTGGAGAGTTGCCCCAAATCTTACAGATTTCTATCTTATGGAGGGATAGTTACAAAAAAGGGGGGGGGGGGGGAAGGAAGGAAACTTTCATGGATTTACATCTTAATTTAGAATGTTAAAAAGCTTCCATATGACATTTATATTAGACAGTCTCTGCTTAATTCACAGTACATTTGCAGAGGGTCCAAACAACTATGCCAATATCCTGTTTCCCTAATAATTCTTCTACCCTTTTATTTTACCAAGAATTGTTTTATATATATATAGTCATTTTATTAAGGATTATAATTACAATAGTAAAAACTAATACAAACTAAAAGAAAGATAGAAGAATAGAAAGAGTAGAAGAAAAAAAGAAAAAAAGGGAAAAATAGAGAAATAGAGAAATATAGTAAAGAAAAAGAAAAGAAATAGATAGAAACCTCCCAATTCATCACAACAAGTACAAAATTTTAGTAACTTATTACTTCCTCTTAGAATACAACAAATGATCTCTTTTTCCCAAATCCCATCTCTTACCTATAAATAAATACATAAAGCATTGTCATTGCAGATCTGGTGTTAGCAAAAGTCCATTAAGGATTTCCAGAAATAAAAATATATCTATGTTAACCTTGATCAAATATTCATATTCCTTCCTTTTACTTCTAGCAATCTTGATCTTTATTCCCTTCAAATAATATCATAGAACTTGATTTCTTTTCATTTTTTCTTTGTCCCTTCTCACAAGATTCTTCAAAACCTTAACAGGCCTCTTTTGTAAATCCAGTATAGGAAAATTATCCAGGTCACTCCCTTGGTTTATTGTTTGTATATCCCTTTTAATTATTAAGACATCAGCCAGTTTCTTTTGTATGCCCAGTATAACATCTTTTTCCATGTCATTCTTATAGCCTGTCATTTGTAAATCCACTTTCAACTCAGTCTCAATCTTCTCAGGTAAAACTTGTTCCTCTTCCATAAGATGTCTCTTCACAGTCTCTGCACAGTCTCTTCACAGAGGCAGATGTCTCTGTTGACACTAATAATATTAGCTTCTGAATCCATTTTTCAAAAATGTCCTTCAATATGTCCAATGTTAGAATGGTTTGCCCCATTCTGTAATTGTAAGCCGAGTTTATGTATTCTTCTCCTTTAATTGTAATCTTTAGTTCCCTCTAGTGTCTAATTTTTAAAATCTTATTTTATTATGTTTTTTTTAAAATTCAAAACAAAAGCATTTTCCCTCAGGAAGGATTCTTTATAATTAATTCCAAAATCTTATTTCAAATTTATCTGGACCCTTAGTCTGTTTGCAACTTTCTAAAATCAAAGTTTTAGTCACCCTTTTGCTGTTTATTCCCCCCTTTTTTTAAGTTCTTAAATTTGTAGTTAAAACTTTCTTTTGCTAAGGATGAGAAACTCACCTGGTGCTGTCAAAGGTTTCTAATAGCTGAAAAGCAGTTAACAAGCAATTTCTGAAAGTGATTAGAAAAGGAAGTATGCAAACTTAGTGCCCTTTCAAAGGCGCCGACTGTGGTTTGAGCAAGATT